CCCCAAAACCCCAAAACCCCAAAACCCCATCTTCCTATTCACTTCAGCATTAAGTAGAATTTTATAATGAATTAATATTAGCTAGGTGGTAATTTAATGGCACTTGACCCTGGCTCTATCTCAAAGCTATGAGACTGAGCTTGCAATCTTGGGCCTACATTGAAATATACTTGACAATCAAGTCTCATACTTATCTAAATCATTTATCTTGTTTGATAAATGGTTGGAGGTATTTGGCTACTTAGGTTGTTAAGTGAGTCCTCGCTGGGATGGTATTGCGATAGTAAGAGCATACTTTCAGATATGGGACTGACATTTGTTTCTTCATTTTTATTTCAAAACATTCTTCCTTCGTGTATAGGCTAAAGCTTAATAAATTTATAAATGTATAGAGTTTTAAGATAATTAAAGAAAATAAGTTATTAAATCAAATCAACTAACTCTAACTAAGTTTTTTTACGCTCAGAGCGTAACTAATTGCCTACTGGGGATCCCCTGGATGTTGATCTAGGGCCTCCTAGGCTAGTTTGTCATCAAACCCTAACTTGATCAACAACTACAGATCTTTCTAAATCTTAATCTCTTTTTCTTTCTCAATTCTAGCCTTTTCCTTTTCATCCATCATATTTGACAGGTTTTGTCTTTCGATTTCTTCTTGGGATGAATTTGAACTCTTTGACGGGATATCAATCACTTCTGGTGCACAGATAATTTTTTCAATCGGCTTTCTTATATCAAAGTGATTATTTGGCATAAGGTCTTTAAGGCGAGGCATAGAAATCTGCTCCCATATGTCATCTAGGAAGTAGACGCAGCCTGGACTTGCTTTCTCATGCAGAGATGCTGATAGGCTTGCCTTGTAGCCGAAAATCCAAACCTTTTTGTACAATGTCTCAGTGAAGAACTCGACCATGTCTTTGAAATCTCCATCTCCTGCAATCAAGACTAGTTATTCAAGCTAATTTGAGAAGGCTATTTTCATTGCTTTCATAACTATAGCGACATCTACTTCCTGCTATACTTAGAAATCAAATGCCTTTTGAGAGTGAGGGCATGTCTTGTTTGGACACCATGCCTGCTTCTTCTTGAATCCTCGGATGTCTACACTAATAGAATTCTTTTTTAGACTATTATAGGTATTTTATCTGAGTGCAATACTCTATGAGTCTTTTTCAGCAGTAACGAAATGTCTCTAAGTCAATTAGTAGCCAGTCTTATCCTGCATATACTTTATCAGATTGTGAATGTTGTCTTCTGTGAGAGCGAGTTTACGATTGCTGGACTTTTCAATGTCTCTAGCTCCTACCTAGAGATAAGCGCCATCGATGATTAAAACTGACTGGCCTTGGCCTGAACCTGGGGGCACTCCTCCCAAGATATTTTGATAGGGCTAATAAGATGTTGGGAATGGGATAGGCATGCTATTTTGATTAAGTCCATCTTCCTATTAGTTTTTTCGATAATTCATTTCCTCCCTGATTAAATTATTTTAGAGAAATTTCTTCAGATATCTTAATAAATCAATAATTGACATAACATTGCGATTAGGGGTTTTGGGGTTTTGGGG